TTTGTTGTACTTATATGCATGGATACATAGATCCAGTATTTCTTTTGGACTAGCATGGCTGTGAAAAAATTTCCTGAAATGCTAAGGAAATCTTTAGCCTTGGGGAGTCTCTGTATTAAATTAAGATCTGAAGGATTAACAGGCATTTCAAACACCAGTAGAAGGAGTAAAGGACAGAAAAGACAGGGTTCCCAGTCTTAAGACATTGAAATCTAGTTAGGTAGGCAAAACTAAAAGATAACAAGTTTTAAAACAATTTAATGTTTAATTTTAATATTTGCAAAGATCTTTCATATCTTTTCTCATGAAATTATATTAAGTGTGTGTCCATTTCCACTCTAAATTGAGAAACGCTAGAAATTTATATTCCTGAACTCAGATTCAGCACAGTTTGCTTCAGGAATTATTTCTGGGTCAATTGAACTTCTTTTTTTTTCCCCAGTAGCACTTTTATAGCTTTATCCTATCTTACACTTTTATCAGAAATGAAACCACAGCCCTGGTTGGTGTGGCTCAGTGGTTGAGCATTGACCTATGAGCCAGGAGGTCAAAGTTCGATTCCCTGTCTGGGCACATGCCTGGGTTTCGGGCTTGATCCCTAGTAGGGGGCATGCAGGAGGCAGCTGATCAGTGATTCTCATCATTGATGTTTCTATCTCTCTTTCCCTCCCCCTTCTTTTCTGAAATCAATAGAAATATTTTTTTTTAAAAGAGGTTTCACTGTATTCGCATTTTTAAAAAATATTTTTTTTTATTGATTTCAGAGAGGAAGGGAGAGGAAGTGAGAGATAGAAACATCAATGATGAGAGAGAATCATTGATTGACTGCCACCTGCAGCCCCCTACTGGGGATCAAGCCTGAAACCCCGGCATGTATCCCTGCCTGGAATCGAACCTGGGACCCTTCAATCCATAGGCCAACGTTCTGTCCACTGAACCAAACCAGCTAGGGCTGCATTTTTATTTCTAAGAATATTCTAGTGATTCAAATTAGAGAAGATTAACTTTCCCAACTACTATGTAACTTTGGTAACTTTAAATAGAAAGGCAAAAAGAATGAGGAAGCTTTCAAAAGTAAGGATAGTAATATCTGAATATAGTCAGTCCTATGTTAAAACCACTTTAATGAAAAGGTGGTGCTTCAGAAGAGTCAAGAATTCTGTGGACTAACACTATTACAGATAATTTAAACTTTCTTAAAACAAACAATAACCTATCTCTTACTCTTCCTTATCCCATCAAAAAGAGAAAGGCCTCTTCTTAAACAAGTTTAATGTGTACTGGTTCTTCCCATCTAGTTCATTCTATGAGTGGTAATCTGCTTCAGGGATTTGTAATCAGGAGCTTGGAAATTTTAAAATGCTCAGATTTTCACAACTATCCCTTTTATTAACTTAGAATAAACAGAAGTACTACACAAAGAAACTTGAGTAAGACAGAGCTAGGTTTTCTTCAAAACCTTCTATCCTAAAACTGGGAGAGCTACTAAATAGTAACTGCAACTTGGGCGCCCCCTGGGGATCAAATTTTTAAAAAAAGTTTTACATCTTTAGTTTAAAGTGTATCCTTTAAAAATATTCAAAGAGCTCACTGGTATGGCTCAGTAGCTGAACGTTGTCATGAGCCACAGTTAGATTCCCAGTCAGGGAATATGCCTGGGTTTCAGGATCAATCCCCAGTAGGTAGTGTGCAGGAGGCAGCCCAGCAATGTTTCTCGCCCTCTTTCTTCTTATCTGAAATCAATTTAAAAACACATTAAAAAATCAAAATAAAAATATTCAAAGAATACTTATTAAGCACCTGCTGTGTGCCAGATGCAATGTTCAACACCTGAGACTCAAAAATAAGTAAAATCGAGTTTCTGATTTCTACATGTTTAAGTCAATATCACCTCAGTCTAAGGACAGCAGGTAGGATTACCAAAGTATGAGTTACCCGCAAAGCTTGAAAGTTATAACACAGAAGATAAGAATTTTGTTGGGGTGCTATAGAAAGCGATTAGCATGGATATAAATTTGAGTATAATTTGCTTATGTATGTAAAATGTTCACCATCTTTAAAAGAGAATTGGTTTAACTATGTCTTCCTGCTACCACATGCAAAACTATAGTTCTTATTTTCAAGACAAGTTGAGGTTATGACACCATTATTTTTCTTGAGTTAAAACAATATAAATAAATTTTAATTTTAAAAATGCAAAAATAAGGCAGTATCCTCACCAGGATTTTTTAGTAACAAGTTATTTCACAATAATTCTACTCTAAACACTGGCTCTAAAATGGCTGATTTTCAAAAACAAATTGAGTGTGAAAGGGCACATAAAATAGAAACAATTAGAAAATAAAGCAAAACTGAAAAGGACCAGTACAAATAAATGGGAAAAATCAAAACTAAAACCCCTCAAACTTTTCCTTTCCAGTTCAGAACACTTTCAGAAGATACTGTATCAAATTTGCCCTTCCTTCCTCAAGACCTGGGAGAGCCTGCAGTAGAGGTAGAATTCCTCTTCAGAAAAACACACACATACAATCTTCCCTCCAGTTAAGCCCTCATTCCTAAAAGCAATGCCCGTGACATTAGAGGGCCAGATAGTTTTAGGTTCTGTAGCCAAGGTCCTAAAATGTACTTCTGGCAGCTTGAGTTGGAAATCAGTGTACTTTTCCCAAAGAAACAATTCTATTTCAGCTACATTTCAGGGAACCTGTGAGCTAAATTAGCAATGGCATGATAGTTGGGAAATTTAACCTTGTTTATAATGCTTTTTCCCTACAGGAAAAAATTCAGTTCCAAAAGTTACAATCTTTTGGGATTCTGCTATTGTTTGCCTATATATTGTAATAAAGTATTCAGTCAAAATACAAGGGACTCATAAAGGAAAGAATAAAAAACATCTGATTTAAATGACCATAGACTTCCATTGTTTATTTCATCAACTGGGGGATAGCAATTACTAAATTATAAACTATTTGAAATTTGTAGAAATCAACTTAATGTTTTTGGCAATTAGAATCAAGAGTAACTATTTTCATGGAAGATAACAGTTTAAAAAAGCTCAAGCTCATGTAACTGCTCAAATCTTAAAGAATAGGATAATAATTATAAAACATATCTCATCAGGGAAATCTTATAACAGGTTTAAAATGTCATCAGCCTTTACAGACCAGAAATAAGAATAAACACTAGTTATAGAATGCAGAGATTATTTTTAATCCAGTGCAGTAATATGGGTATTATTAGTTGGGGTGTGGCAGTTAAAGCCACTTTAGGATTCAGAAACAAAATATTTAAATGCATTCAAATATAACGGTCCAAAGTTAATTTTTAAAAATTAACACTACTACAAAGTAAAAATAACCAATCTCATAAATTAAATACAGGAAGTCTAACATTAAGAAAAAAAATTATTTGCATCTATGTGTGCCAGAGATTTTACTTCATTTAATATTCAAATACCAATTACTAAATTATAAACTAATAATTTATAGATAGATAATATTTCTTCCTTTTTATAGAGAAACTCAAGCTAAAAGTAACAACTTGTCTAGGACTAAAGAAACAGTAAATGGCAGTTGGGCTTTGACCCCACATCTGTTTGACTCTGAAGTCTTTGCTCCTTCTTCTATCATGTTATTTACATATGAGTCATTTCATACATAAAATAAAAGATTGAAATCATCCAATTGACTACTTGTCTTCTAAAAAGTAAAAGGAACCAACAAAGATGAAAAAAAATACTTAAGTATTTTTTTGGGTTGAGTTAGTTCCACTTTTATTCCTAAAAATAGTCAATAATGATAAATACAGCTGTAGAATATATAATGAAGTAGATATCACCATCTGACTTTTTCTGGATGTTCTTTAGAGAATAAAATATAGGACAGGAGTGAACTGTGTGAACAAAGAAGGAGAGTAAAGGCCCAAAGCTAAAATAAGCGATAGCATGCAACAGAGGAGGGAATTTTATAAATTCTGTGGCAACACTTTTGTTGGTCACCGAGTTTCACAGCACTCCTGGCGGCCTCTTGTTTCTATGTATCTAGTTTTCCTTCTCTCCCGAATGGTACCCCCAGACTCTCCAATAAGCATTTCTCAGTGTCAGTGCAGAGGTAACCAAGTATCTGTTTGAAAAGGGTTAACAGAATTGAAATGGTAAACTTTTCAACACTTGAAAAAAAAAAATCGGAAAGTAACACAATTTCATAATTTCAGAGTTGGGAGGTATTTTTATACTGAGTTTAAAACAAGGTATAGAGCCTCTTACGTTCTAGAGAGGGCAACTGAGACTCAGAGGAAGTGACTTGGCCATGAACTCGGCGTGAGTTGGCAGCAGGACCTGAGGTTGAAGCTTGGTCTCAGAACTGGGCTCCACGGCTTTTCCAACCACACCAGCTTAGGCTGTGTCAGGACTGGTACTGCCAACTGAAGGGGCCAGAGAGCGCTGCTTGCGGCTCACAGAACAGCTAACCTAACAGCTTGTCCGCCTGCAATCCTTTCTAGGGTAAAGGCTGATTAGTTGAGGATTCTTAGTTTAGAGAGCCCACGGGGAGGGACAGAGCAGAAAAACCGGTCTCTTTCTACAGCCAGGCAGCTGTGGGCGCACGCCCTAAATCCGGCTCCTGCTGCCTTCACTTACTCTACGCCCAGTGACACGCTGACCTCTGCGCGCCGAGGGTTCCGAAAGCTAACCCTCTTGGAGTCCCTCTACTCTCAAGACGAACTTTGTCCCAAAATATAAGGAAAGAGGGGTGCAGAAACAAAGCGACCCCAAGGAGTCCCCATCCATTCCCGGCGCCCCCGGGGCGGGCGGACGTGGACTACCAGTCCCGACGTGCCACGCGCCGGCGGACCCCCAACCACCGCCACGCGGGTGACGCGACGGTCGCCGGGATTCGTAGTCCGCAGCCCCGCGGCTCCGGGGGGCGCGGAACTCCGGGCGCGGCAGGACAAGCTCTGCCGGGCGTCTGGTTAAGCCTAGAGACCGCCAGCTGCCTGGGCCTCACCTCCACGATGCGGGCGCACTGGGTCCCTTTGCCGGCGCCGGGACCGCCAAGAACGAACACGACCAGCGGCTTCATGAGGCGGTGAAGGCAGAGAAAGAATGGCCGGCGGGTCACCCGCGGGAAACGAAGACCCAGGTCGTGCAGCAGCAGCAGGCGGCCACAGCGGCTCAGCATACACTGCGTCTCTCTGACAGCAGCCCGGCCGGCGGAGGCGCGGGGCGGGACGGGGCGGGACAGCAGAAGGGGCGGGCCGAGCCGGCGCCCGCCACGGCCCCGCCGCCGAGGCTGCCGGGGCGTCCCCGTCGCGGCCGGAAGGGGAGGGGCTCCCACTGCTCCGAGGGCGGTGCTTCCTAGGCGGGGCCCCCTCTCCAACCCGCTCCTTTGTCCGCTCATTTATCGGTCCTATCCGTGGTTCTTTACCCGGTGCATTATGGGTCAGGCCTGTGTTGGGGTCTGGTGCGACACCAGGAGAAAGCAGAATCTATTGTCTGTTCACAAGAAATTTAAAATTCTAGTGGGGAGGCAGCCGACTTGAGCAAGTCGACACATGAATAAGTAAATAAATACAAATAGCAACAAAGAAAAAATAAGTACAACTAGCAGTGTGAGCTTTGAAGGCATAACAAAGGATGAATGTAATTTGGGGAAAGTAGTCAGAGAAGACCTCTGAAGATGTGACATTTAAACCAAGATGTAAGGATAGGAAAGAGCAAAATCAGGAAAAACTATAGTGTCCCACAACAACAGAAAAGGTGTTTAAAAAATCCTGAACGGCTTGTGTTGGGGAAGACAAGTGAGGCCAGAATTATATGAATAACAGGGAGAAGGGAAGGTGGAAGAGTTAGACAGGTGGCAGGTCATTCAGGCCCTTTAGTTATGGAAAGGAGTTTGGATTATATTCTAATTGCACTGGGAAGCTCTGTAATTATAACTCCATTTCTCTGCCCACTGCATGAAGGAAAAATCTTAAGGAAGAAGAAAAGAAATCTAAGGAATGAGTCTTGGAACATAGACCTTTAAAAGTTGGAGAGAGGAGGAGGAGCCTGAAAAGGAAGAGCCAAAAAAGGTAGGAGGAAAAAAAACATAAGAATGTGGTGTTCCAGCAGAATATTTGGAGGAAGATTTTGATGATGCATTGGTGAACATTGTGTTATACTAATAAATTGGACTTGGCAACAGGGAGAATTTAGACTTATGAACTTTATGGTGTCACCCAAAGCAGATCACACACTTTATTTAATTTGAATCTAGATTGAAAGAGGAATGGATAGGAGGTGAGGAGCTGAAGACAATAGAAGGTCAAAGTTTAGTTTATTAGATGTCATTAGGAGAGATAATGTCTAATATGGTAGCCACTAGCCACATAAGGGTACTTACATTAATTACGTTAAATACAATTGTGAACAAAAGGAGCCACATGCCAACCTGACAAGCTCAGGGGAGGCCTGTGTGGCAGTCTTGCAAACTCAGAGACCTAATATAACCACAAAAGATGGTTTGAAAATTAAATATTTAAACTAAAAACAGGTTATAGTGGGTAGTCATGTCCTAGGCCGATATTTTCCCTGACAAAGATCAACTTAGATCTTCTTCACTGAGCCCATTTGCCTTTTTGCCTCTAAGATAACATATCTGTGAGATGTCTAGGTAACTTGTAAGTTCTCTTTTCTGGAACCCCTGGGGCTCAACCAAATGTGGTGGGCACCAGGACAGATGCCTCAAATTCCTTCTTTATCATGTTAATTGTTCCTGCATTCACCTAAGTATATGTCCATCATTTTACTTTTTATCCAATCCCAGGGGTTTCCCACAGCTTTGCTTTCTTCCGCCTCCTTAATCCATCACCAATGAATTTCATGTAACCCACCTATGTCCCTCCTTTGACTGCAATGTATAAATAGAAATGTAACCCGCCATTCTTCGGAGCATTATCTCAATCCATTGAGGTTCTGCTTCCTGGCATATGGCATATGTCAACAGTTTGGCTCAAATACACTCACAAAAATTTTTTTTACAAGTTTCAATGGTTGTTTTTTTTGTTAATACAATTTAAAAATTCACTTCCTCAATCATACCACATTGTTGCAGAAGACCAAAGAAAAACCAACCAATGCTTTTAGAGAAAAGGAATTTACACTGTTTAATATGCCAGTGGACTCAGTGGAATAACTTCCCAAATCTGAGTAAAGTAACATGCAGGGAGCTTCTCTTATATCTTTCTGGGGTTTTTGTCCCTCAAATATGGATTATGCTTCCATTCCTTTTCATGGGATTTGCAAGAAGGCTTCCAGGTGTTGGGGGTCTCCAGGTCATATCTGATGGTCTGGCATGGTGCCAGCGTTAATAACCCTCTCCAGGGCAGTGCACTGTCCACAGTTTTATGGCCTCTAACAGGTCCTGCAAGACCAGTTTCTGGGAAAGAGGAAGTGACTTAATTATAGGTTATCAAGAATGTACACTAGGCTTGCTGGCATGGATTCAAATTGCTAGCGCGCCCCCCCCCCCCCAAAAAAAAATCAGGGTTACATGGGAATTAGCCTTTTAGCCTTCTCAACATTTCAAGTGCTCAATAATCACATATAGCTAGTGGCGATTATATTGGACAATGTGCATACAGAACATTTACAGCATCACAAAATGTTCTATTGGACAATGCTGTACTAGAGCTTCTATTTAAGCCACTAAGATTGATATGAAAGAAAGGAACTGAGGTAACCCCTTGAGAAGAAAAATCACATGGGTTCCAAAGGGCACGTGAGGGGCCTTAGATTACTTAAAAGTTCTCGGAGACAAAAAAGTTCATTTATAATAGGAGTTGCAAGAAAGGTATAGTTACAGGAAAGTTTAAAGATAAGGAAGCATTCCTGTCTGATAACTTCATTTTCTTGGTAAAGAAAGGCAGTATCAGCTGAGGGTAAAGAGAAGGGAGTTGGATGTTTGAGAAGACAGAAGGTATGAAACAGACATCTTTGAGAGTGGAAAATTGTTTTTTTAAAGAAAACCAATCAGTAGGACTTCTGAGCAACATTAGGAACTCATTTGGTGGTTGAGTTTGTCAACTACCAAAGATAATCAATTAAGTATTCCAAAAAGAATTTATTCTGGAAAAAGAAACGATTGTAATCCAGTATGTACAGACCTAGCAAGCCATGTGCACAAACTACCATAAGCCAGTCCCTCAGTGAGGCTAGGATTCACAACCTTGGCATCACCCACAAGAGCTCCTCCCTGACCTTTGGATTAACAGCTGCTCATGCTAAGAGATTGCACTGCTCTAGAACTCCTTCCACAGGTTCTAGCTCCTTCCACAGGCCCTACCTATTAATTGATTGTGTGCAGGTTAAGGTCTCTGTCATAAATTTTATCAAGATTATGGATTTAAAATATTTGAAGATGTTTGACAGTTCAGATGCAGGCATAAAGAAGACAGATTGTTGCCGAAACTGGTTTGACTCAGTGGATAGAGCGTCAGCCTGCAGACTGAGGGGTCCCGGGTTCGATTCCTGTCATGGGCATGTACATTAGTTGCAGGCACATCCCCAGTGGTGGGTGTGCAGGAGGCATCTGCTTAATGTTTCTCTCTCATTGATGTCTCTAGCTTTCTATCCCTCTCCCTTCCTCTCTGTAAAAAATCAATAAAATATTTTTTTTTTAAAAGAAGAAGAAGAAGAAGAAGACAGATTGTTGAGTGTAGCCAGGGTAGGAGTTTTGCCAAACAAGTACAACAGAAGGAGAAAGGACCAAAAGGATGTTTGCAACAGAATGTTTATGATGATGTATGTGGGCTCAAACCATATAGAAAGCATTTGATAACCGGAAGTGTTTAGTTGTATGAGTAGTTTTGTGAACAGAGAGGGAGACACATGGAAGAGTTTTTCAAGCACACCTATTTTGCCACACCATGTAGTCACATGGAGCCAAGCCAAGGAGACTAGAATTCATGAGAGACATCATGCTACTCTCATGCTTGAACACTTAACTCCTTCTTAGCATTATAATAGAACTTTTACTCCTTGGTGGTGGCAGAGAAACAATTAGTTCTACCTAAATGCAGACGACAGACCTTCAATAATAATATGGCTCAATAAGTATATATTAAATAAGTGTATGTTACCCAGTAGAGGACCATTCCTTATCTGAATCCATAGATTGAATACATTGATTAAATAAATTGAATGAATATATATTGAATATCCACTATGTACCAGGTATTTGACTTACATTACCTTTTCTGAGGATACAAGAGGTATCCTCAAAACCCACTCCTACCTATATGTGTTTATTTATCATCAAGTACATTTCACTTACATTGACATTTAATAATCATTACAATTACAATATCTGTAGAAATTTCTGGACCAGGATTTGCTCAACCCTCTAATTGTTGGATCATGGAAAGTCATTGATGTCCCAGGAGTGAATGTTACACAAAGTGCCCTGGAAGTAGCCATATACCAACTCATTTATATATATAAAAGCCTAAGCAACTGAATGACCAGTAACTGTGATGTGTACTGACCACCAGGTGGAAGACACTCAACACAGAAGTTGCCTGCTGGTAGTCAGTGTGCTCCCACAGCTGTAGTGCCGCTCAGTTGACTGACAGGAGGCACCAGATGCCAGGCTCACTACTGGTGAGCACAGCAGCTGGTGGTGGGAGCCTCTCCCACCTCTGCAGAAGGCAGACATCCCCCAAAGGGTCCCAGAATGTGAGAGGATTCAGGCTGGGCTGAGGGACCACCCAGTGCATGAACATCATGCACCAAGCCTCTAGCATGAAAATAAGTCAGTATTTTAACCACCAATAGAGTCTTACAAGTTGTGTTGGCTAAACATCAGCCTTGCCTTATACAATAAAATCCTTGTATTGCTATGAAGTTAGTACTGTCATTTTGCAGATGGAGAAACAAAGCCAGAAAGTGAAAATACTTTAAGACCACATAACTAGTAGATATCAAAGTGAATTTCAAACTCAGCATGTATGGCTTCAAAATCTGCATTCTTTCTCTACAATACTGCCACCTTAGGGGATAAAAAGTTTCATATTCACAAAATCCCTTTAAAGTAAGTTTTATTACAGATAAGAAGACTGATTTCAGAAAGAAGTATAACAAGAGGTATCCTCAAAACCCACTCCTACCTATATGTGTTTACTTATCATCAACTACATTAGGCCTTTTGGGCATATATTCAATGCATGCGTACTATTCCCAGTACATAGTCAAGTTCCTAGAGAAGTCTCTAAGAGCTTCAGAAATAGGGCC